CCCCCCCCCCCCCCCGAATATATCCGTGGGCAGCTTGAAGAGAAGTGAGTTCTTACCTGGGCCTATACAAAAATACTTCCGTCAGAAATGAATGCTACCAAAGAAAAGTCGTGTTTTATCACACGGGGGTGGTGATGCTGGTGGACATCACCATCGAAATGCAGATGAAAATGCAAAAGCCCCATAGACCTCATCGCCCCCAGGACATCCCAGCTGGAGACGCTGCTCTGGGCCCTGCTTCTCCCGGGGCCGCCCACGGAGGTGCAGGAGGGGTTCTGAATCTTAAGCAGCAGCAAAGCTGAACCGAGCAGAGCGGCTGGTGCTGGGAGTGGGTTTGTCTAGCCCGCTGGCCCTACCGTTGGTAAACGGGACGTGTCGGCAGGGGCTCCGCCTATTTCCTGCTTTAGAGTCGTTCTCAGAAGACACTACCCACTCCGCTTTGCAGAGAAATAGCTTCACACGTTTGCTTGTTTTGTTCAGACTTAACAGTGACCAGGGCTTAAAGCTGCCACTGGTTACCTCCCAGACTGGTGCTAGGTGGGTGGGGTGGGGTGGCCTCGGCACAGAAGGGGGGGCACGTGTAAGAGCAGGATTTGGAAAGCGTGGAGGAACCTCACCCCCAAAGGACGACGTCCCCAGGCCTCGAGGTGTGGCTTTAGGGACACGGCTGCGTGCTTGGATTAGGAGAGCCCCCTGGCAGGCTGCAGCCCTGAGGCACCAGGCCTCCTTATTTCAGATCTCCCTGGCCAGCAGGACGCCCAAGGACCAGGGCCTGTGCCATGTGCTGGAGCAGGTTTACAGCGTCCTCAAGCAGGGGAGCTGAGAGCATCAGCCTCCAAGGACCAGGGAAGCCTTTGGTCAGATGCGGCTCCCTGAGGCTCTGTGTGACGGGAATGGGCCCAGGGCCTTTGTGCTGCTTTGTTCCTGTGTGACTGAGGTGTGTGACGGCAGGGGCTCAGATAATAAAGGAGAAACAGCCTAGGCATGTGTCTCACGGATGCAGGAGGGGTTGCTGTTCATGCAGCTGTGGCTATGGGGAGGGGCCGTGCTGGCGACTGGGCAGATGACAGCCGTCCCTCCCAGGCTCTCTGTGGGCTGGTGCTCATGTGGGCCCCACCCTGGCTGGAGATCCCTTCGGGAGGGCCCGCGCTGCACCACAACCAGGCAAGAGGCTGTAGAAAGAGACATTTAATACTTTTTTAAAAAAATCAGGATTACATTTTGATCTGCCCTAGGCTGGGATGTCTGTCTCTCCTCCAGGTACTGGTGACTGGGGGCCTCTTGGAGGAGCAGGGCGGGCCTGGTGTCCTTGGGGGCTTTACCGGGTCACCAGAGGAGGGGAATGTGAACCAGGCCCGGGGTCCCCTGTTTAGCCAAGTTTTGGATTAGGCAAGAGGGGAGGTGGGTGCAGGGCTGGGGCCCTGCTGGTCTGGGCAGCTGCCTACCTTGGTCTGGAAGAGATGGCCTGGGCCACTGTCCAAAGAGGGTATGGTGGCTGGCTCACCAGGGTGGTGCCCGTGACTCCCCCAGGGGCCCCAGCAGCCAGAGGTCTGGGAACATTCACTAAACAAAGCCTTTGTGCTTGACCTTCCACATAGTGGAGGCTGGGCTCCCGTGGTCGTGTGGGTTCCCGTGGTTGCATGTACGTGTGTAGGCTGGGCTCCCGTGGTCACGTGTGTGTGTGTGTGTGTGTGTGTGTGTGTGTGTGTACACGCACGTGCACGCTGGCAGCTTGTGCCAGAGATGCTCCATGTGCTTGGCTTGGGATGCGGTGGTGGGCACAGGTGTTCGGGGCTTAGTGCCCTGCAGGGGGGAGATGGCCTGTCTTTAGGGGCCCTGGCTCCTGAGAACCCCAGGCTCATCTTTCCCCAAGTTCCCAGCGAGAAGAAAGGCGTGAAACCCTTCCAGGAAGGTGGCATCTGTAGGCACTCAGGGGCCTAGGGAGCTCTGGAGGGGGCTGGTAGTGTGTGGGGGTAATTTAAAAGCAGGGTGGCGAGTCTCAGACAGACAGGGGTCTCACCCAGACCACACCATCACACCGATGTTTAGTCCTATCCTGTTAAGGGCAGGTCTCTGGGCGGGGCTGGATGGAGGTGGGAGAGGATGCGTGTGTGTGTGTGCGTGCGTGCGTGCGTGCGTGTGTGTGTGTGTGTGTGAGAAGAGAGGAGAGAGAGAAGGGGGGCCCACCTGGAGTTACCAGTCCCTGGAGGGACGGGAGGAGTTAGTGTTTCTAAGAGCACCTTAGTGTGAGCCTCCTGGGGTGGGTGGGTGGGTGGGGCGGAGCTGGGGAATTTATAAACAAAACTTAACACACATTAAGAGGCAGACAACATAAGGACTCAAAAAACACAATATGGGGTAAGTGGTCTTCCATACTTGAATAATCCCTAGTGTCTTCCTTGAATCGCCCAGCCCCCAAGACGGCCACGTGGAGTGGGGAAGGGAGCCCCCACCACCGGGGGTGAGCACTAGTGTAAACAGGGGCCCCGCTGTCCTGGGGCTGGGTCAGGCCCAGAGCGGGCCGCCCTGCAGGCTGTGAGCACTGCCCAGCTGCGGGGCCCGTGGAATGCAGAGATCTGGACGGAGGGGCGGCGGGCCGACACACCACGGAGACGCGGTCACTGGGGCAGCGGCACCAGCACCTCCACGTAGCTGAGGGGGAAGAAGCCGGACTGGCCATGGAGCATGCCCTCATACCAGTTCTCGTCGATCTGATTGGTCAGCGTGATGATGTCCCCCTCATGGAAGCCCAGCTCCCCATCGTTCTCAGGCTCAAAGTCATACAGGGCCTTGCAGCTCGGCTGGTCCAGGGGTGCTGCGGGCGGGGGGAGGTCCAGGCTGTCACCTGCCCCTGTGGGTGTGCAGGGGGATGTCGCCTCCTCTCCCCTCCCCCCGACCCCCTTGTCCTGCCCACTCACTGCTCCTTGCTTTCCCCCAAGGAGAGCTGCTCCCTCCCCTGTGGCCCCCACTGCTATCAGAAGGAGCCAAGTGACAAGGGGAGGGAAAAGGGCTCTGTGAGTCTTCACCAAAACGCTCCTGGGAGGAGCTGGGGACACCCAGTGGCCTCAGGGTGACAGTGATCAGAAGCACACAGCTCTCAGGGTACCACCTGGAACAGGGAAGCCCAGCTCCACTTCTACCAGAGAAGAGGTGGAGGAGGACCCTTGAGGCACAGATTAGAAGGCGGTGGCGTAAACCGAGGCAGGGGCACGGGGCAGGGCCCGGGCCCCTTGCGGACACTCACGCATGCTCCTGCTGCTGGGGGTCCGGGCGGGCTTGTCGGCAGATCGGAAAGATGACGAAGCTGCTTGCAGACAAAGAACAGAGGTGGGCTGAGAATGCTGGCGTGGGGCCTGGTGCCCATCCTTGGGGCTCCTCGTGCAGAGAACTGGCCCTGCGGTTGGATGGGTGGAGGGTGGGGGCTCCCCCGAAGGGGCCTGGGGCAGAGAGGTGCCCTCTCCCCCATTACCTGTGATCTTGGGGGCCGTGGCACAGGGGAAGCCCCCGTTGGACTGCTCAGGCTCTCCGAGGTCCAAGGGCTCCCGGGGCTTGGGCTTATACTCCCGCTTGGGGCGAGAAGAGGCTTCCCGCATCCTGCATGTGGAAGGACGCCTGTGAGTGGCTGCAGGGCACCTCTTGAGCCCTCGTGTGTCGAGGTCAGGAAACAACGCCTCCAACCCCAGCTATTTATGCTGCTGCCCCGGGACTCGGGGATGCACGTAGGTGGCGAGAGGGGGGCCCCCAGGCATATCTCCAAGGCTGCCTACAGGCCTGGTCCTACTGCACCCAGAAGCCGCCTCGGCAGTGACGGCTGGGGAGCTGGTGCCCGACAGATACCCACCCCTCACCAGGGAACCACCGCCCACCGGGGCTTCCCTTCTTAGGCCCTGGACGCTGCTGGCTGCAAGATGGCCCTCGGGGACAGGGAAAGA